AGAAGAAGAAGAAGAAGAAGAAGAAGAAGAAGAAGAAGAAGAAGAAGAAGAAGAAGAAGAAGAAGAAGAAGAAGAAGAAGAAGAAGAAGAAGAAGGAAAAAAAGGAAAAGAAGAAAAGAAACACATTTGCAAAGGAGTAAAAGTGTACAACAGAGTAATATTTACTACCAACATTGAATTAGGACCCTATCTGTGAAATAGTTTCACCTTACCAAAAGCTACTTCAGCAGGTGGCTCGGGTGTCAAAATGTGTTTGTACAGGCAAGCCACAGGCACCTCTGCTTCTGGGTCCCTGGCCGCACAACTCCATTCCAGAGTTAACACCCTTACCCACATAACACACACAGAAAACATCTCATCTCTGAGTACAGGCCAACGCAAAAAGGGAAGGAAAAGAAGAAAATTCATGAGAAAAGGGAAAAATAACAAGAAAAACAAAGCTTAAAGGAGAGACAAGGCCATTTAAAATAACAACTAAGATGGAGAAAGAAAGATGGGAGAAAAGAGAGAAAGGGGGCACACATATAAAGAAAAGGCTAAATCAGAAGCCGGAGCACTGTGTTGGGAAAATGAAAGAACATAAAAGAAGTGAAAAGCTTTCCAGGGCACCGTGTGCACCCTCAGAAGAGGCAGACGAGCCCTGGGTGCAGCTTTTATGCCTGAGCTCGGGGCTCAGTCTCAGAACTCGCTTTTCCCCTCCCTTCCTGGGGATGCTGCCCTGCTCCATTCTCTTTGCTTTCCTTGTCTCCCTCTGTCACCTAAGCCTCCTCTCAGGAGAGAAGCCCAGGGATAAGTGGTAAGAGAACTGAGGAACAATAAGATATGCTCAGACTTAATCACTGATCAAGCTATAAGAGCAACATCATGATACAATTCTTTCTACACACACACACACACACACATATATATACATATACATTTATATGTATATTTCAAATCTCTAAAAGTTGACAAAATTTGCTGTGCAATAAACTTTGAGAAGCCACAGAACTAAGTGAAATGGGAACACCTGTTTTCTGAAAGCCACACTCCATCTCGCATCCTCTATCAGTATGAAACTGTTTAACAGATGAGAACACAAAAACAAAAATCTGAGTAACTTTCTTCAGGGGCTGTGCTGAGACAGCAGAACCATGATGCAGTACCACTCTGCCGGAAAGGAAGATAAGCTTGAGTCGTCTGTAGGAATGACTGGTTGGGTGCACCTTGAGACCATAATGTAACGTGAAGTAAATCAGGCACACAAGCTTGAGTATCACATGGTTTCTCTTACATGAGAAAATCAAAGTACAAATAAAAGATAGGTAATAGAAAGTAGGGAGATAGACCTTTCTCAAAGTGGAAGGGGAACAAGAGATGGAGTAAGAGGGAGAGCGGGGAGGGAAACAGGATGAAAAGCAGAGTAGAGATGTGCTGTGCATGTACCAGCTCCACACAAAGACTGTAAACATACACTGCAAATATGTACCAGACAAAAACAAAAAAGGAAAGGGACCTTGTAATGGGCGAATGGGCTAGGGAGGGAAGGAAAAGGGGATGAAGAACAAATTAAGATGCGTTATGTACATTCACAAACTCTACACAAAGAACATAAACATTATGTGCTATTCATGTGTACTAATGAAATAAAAGGGTTTAAAAATAAAAATAAAAGTGGTGTCTTTTGTGATATGTATATGTACCAACTACTCATAATGAATGTATTCATTATATATTACAAAATAAAAATAGTATCCTCATACCAAAAATTAAATTTAAAATAAAATTGGGATTTGTGAACTCTCAAAAAAAGAAAAGTAGCAGAACCTAAACTCAAACTAATTCATTTCACTTTAAAGTCCTAGCCATGCATGTTTATTTATTGTTTGTTTCATTGCTGGGGATTGAACTCAGAGCCTTTGTGCTGAGCAGCATCCCCAGACCCCCTTTTCTTCACACAAGTTCTCACTAAATTACTAAGCTGCCCGGGAGCCCATGTATTTTCCTGCCAGAATGCCGCCACCTCCATACTCTCTCCTTAATCTTCAGCCTCTGATTTTCTCTCAGCTCCAGAGGACTTGTCACTGCTGAGAGTCAGCTGCGATGCTGCCAAGCCCTCTTTCTTTCTTCACAGTTCCGGAAGGAGCGGGGTCCTCCCCTGACTCTGTGTCCGTGTTTCTCACAAGTGTGCCATACAAACAAGCACTCATTCTACCAATCCCCAAGCACAGCAACTGTCCCCTGCGCCCTCCCGCTTCCCCAGCAGGTGCCCAGCCTCCCGGAAATGCTCCACTCCAGCCCTTCAGTACCGTTGCACTTTTCGACTTCCCTCTCTCCTCCACTGCCTCCCTCCATGCCCTCCTTCAGGCCTTGGTACTCCTTCTAACTGACTCTTCGCAGTGGTGCTGGGTCCCACTTTCTATCCGTGGGTGACTCTGCCTACTCTTGCTTATCAGCCACCTCCTGCACCAGTGGAGTGGAAATCACTAGTCCCTGCTCCGTCACACCTCTCCCCATGGTTTCCAATACGTGAGACACAAACCTGTTCTCATGATGTTTATAATGAACTAAAAATTAAATAGCCCACAATTTCCCTAGTTCGTCTTCAGGACCACTGTTATTCCACCAGCTAATTAGATGTGCTAACACTAGTAGCTTCATGTATTCTCGACAGTGCCTAGACACTGGCAATGCTCCACAGAGGACTTTTCTAAAAACTCTTAATAGGAGTCCAGATAAATGCCTAATAAAATGTTAACTGCATGATGACTAAGAAACTATTCTAATGTAACTTGAAATAAGCTCCCAAATATAAGCAAGCAAAAGAAATAAACTACTTCCTGATTACAAGCAGGCAGCAAAGTTCAGGAAGGCAGAAGGAGCATTTCTGCATCTTTGTTCAGTGCTCAGTATCTAACCCAGGT